CAGACGGCTGCTTTCTGCTGCGAGCGCTCTCCCCTCATAGAAAACAATTGAAAAAAAGACACTATCACAGGGATAGCCTAACTAAAAACTATGTCACCTGATCCTCCTTCATCCATTAATATTTACAGTCTATATGCTAAACACACATTCAGGAATGAAACACTATTTTAAAGAACGCTGTACAAATTGAATTACCTCATTTTTATTATATTATTGTAGAAAAGATCTTGTAACAGACCATGAAACACTGATGAGTTTAGTTGCAAACGATGTTCTTCTCATGTAAGATGACTCGGCACAGATTCACCTGCTCAGGGACTACAGTTGAAAATTAGCCACAAAAGCTAATCTGGCACCTTACAGAAATGTAATGAATGTGCATTGCAACTTTAAACTGTATGAATAAAATAATGAAGATCACACTACAAAGGGGTAAACTGCATTGATGTTCAGAACAGCCGTCTCTGCCAGTCCTGTTGAGATTTGCTGGATTTGAAGGTTTTTACACTCTAAAACACGCTCTTGTTATTTTGTGTTCCAGGGGCTGATCTTTTGAAACTGACCAGAGAGGATGTGATTCAGATCTGTGGTCCAGCTGATGGTATTAGACTTTTTAATGCACTGAAGGGACGGTGAGTCTTCTTTTAATGAATCCCAATCCATAAAAAAAAAAAGTTCTGTCTTGATGATTTAACAAGAAACCCTTTTGCATGTTTCAGGTTATATTTTTAACTTTCTCTCTGTGTGTATGCCGTCTACAGGGTGGTACGCCCGAGGCTGACCATCTACGTCTGCCAAGAGTCTCAGCAGACTCGAGAACAGCAAACCAAACACGAAAACGGAGATGCTGCCGCCAACACTTTCTTTGGTGAGTGCTTTTTATAGGTGCATTAAATTCAGAACAGGAGGACTGAGGGTTTAGCTGCAAGGAGCCATTGTTGAACCAATCACAGAGAGATATAGATTTAAAAGGTTGATGCCATTCTCATAATATATTTAAATTGTAAGCATACAGAAACTCCTGTAGTTAGACAGGTGAACAGTGGCAGGTTTTGCCGTTTTTCAGCCTAAATATAACCACCACTTGATGGTTTCTGTGTCTGTAGCTTTAAATGCAAATTAGCTGTGTCTGACCACGCCCCTCTCTGGAATGTCTTGAGCTGCTACGTCTTTCTAGCGCCAGCGTCTCCCTATTGTGAGAAGGAAGATTCATGGGAGCAGTGTCACCCACCTGGGGGAGGGGTTACTGCCCTTTGTGATGTCACAAAGGGAAAATCTTGAAATGGCCTGTTTGAGCACACATTTTCTGAAAAGTGGAGCAGGCAAAATATAGAGAAGATGGACTTTTCTCATAATTATTATTTTTATTTTACAAACTATGGCGCATGTTAGTGTTAGAAAAACATTGTCAATTCTAATTCACATAATATGCAACCCTTTAAGATAAAGTGTATCTCTAGTGTCATACCCTGGCTCGTGGGCAATGACAAAAGACGAGAGTAGTCAGGCGTTGCAAAAGTAAACAAGCATTTTATTTTTAAAAAATTAAGTAAATAAACCAACAATAACAATAGTTATGAGTTGTGTTTAGTCAGTATCTTCAGTGGTGTACATGTTTGTGTGTGAGTTTGTTTGTTACCATAGTGTGGTGTGATGTGTTGAAGAGTGCGCTCAACATAAAGAACTAAATCAAACAAATGGTGCAGGTGTTGGTCTGGCTGAAAGAGAGAGAGAGAGAGAGAGAGAGAGAGAGCGAGTGGCACAGGAAGCTAGCTTTTAAATCCTGGGAGGAGCAATGGGCAATGTGGCTCAAGATCTAGCAGGATGTAACATCAACCTCTCTGCACCTCGAAGAAAAGACGTGTACAATAGTGCAGAAATAATCACACTCCAACCAAAAGCCGTCACACTAAGCACTGTGTCCTTTGTTCTACTGTTATAAGTTAGAGAAAGCTTTTCCAGTATAATGCACCAACTGCTGCACACAAGAAGATATTTGTTGGCATAAAAACTCTTCTATGCAGAACACATAAAGTCGTAAGACATGCTCAGACGTTAAGTACAAATTGACTTCTGAATTATATTTGTGATTAAAACCTTTTTTTTTTTCCCCCCTACAGTATATCATGCCATTTACCTTGAGGAGCTCACGTCTGCTGAGCTGACAGAGAAGATCGCTCAGCTTTTTAACATCTCACCACTACAGATAAATCAGATCTTTAAACAGGGACCCACAGGAATCCATGTACTGGTTAGTGATGAGGTAAGATCTTTTTTTAATGGCAGTGACTTGTTGTTGATGCACATGCTGGTAAACAGCCCTAGCTTGTTCCCCTCCTCTGTTGATACTTGAACTGTCTTTCTAACAGATGATTCAGAACTTCCAGGATGAAGTGTGTTTCGTTTTGGACACAATGAAAGGTATTTGATTGTGATGATGATTAACTGCTTCTATATTTAACAAGCTTTGATGAGCTTCATCGGTTTATTTATAACACCTTCCTCACCTGCCATGTTTTCCTCCCCCCCCCCCCCCCTATCTTCCAGATAACACAAATGACGGCTACCACATCATCCTGAAATGAACTGTGCAGGAGTAAAGCGTTGCTCTCTTCTCTAGACCCGATCCAGCAAGCCCCTCGCGAGCGTCATGCTCCTCGCTGTTCCTTGAAGATGTGGAGATGTCCTCAATAATCCTCCTGATGCTTCGAGGAGGAAAATGAAACTGAAGCACACAGCGACCCCCTCCTCAGTAAATCTTACTGTCTAACTTTTTAGGGAGTGACCGTTACCCCCGTGAAGTAGCGTTCTCCTTCTTGGCCTGCCTCTGTCTCCCTTTAATGGTTGCATTCTTTGTCGCTTATGTCTCCTGAAAGAGGTTAGTGGCCCCGCAGCTGCTTTGTTTCTTTATTTGTTAGCTGAGCATCTGGTGTGCCCAGGACTCTGTGCCTCTGAAACAGTTTGTTGTCTTTTTAACAAACAACAGCCAAAAAAAAAAAAGGAAGAAACAAAATGAAACGGCACATACAGGCTGTGAGGCAACATGACTCAGTCAGAAATGCAGCATGATTTCTGGTCCTCATGCTGGGACCGACTCAGTCTGCTGGAAACATGGTATAGCCAGACGCATTCACACCGTCGCACAAGAGAACCACGAGAGGAAAGAAAAGCAGCATCAAGTCGGACTTCAAGGGAAAATGTTGGAATCAGGCTGTGCTCCTTAACTTGTGTGATTCCTTTTTAAAGCTAACATTGGGAGTCTTTGGCTGGTTTGAGCTGTTACTTTAAAGGAACATTTTTTTTTTTTTTTTTTACTTGACTCCCAAACACTGTTTGGTCGTTTTAGTGAGTGCAGCGCCGCAGACCGTATAGAAGAAGTGGATTGAGCATCTGTTACACCTCCCACTGATCCATGGCCTAAAGTTTTAAATCTTTGAGTTTGGCATTTTGAACGTCATCGGACCGGCAAAGTCCAGTTGCTTTCTCAAGATCTCTACTTCTTAATCGTTTTATTTTGAGATAGCAACGCTGGTTTTCCCTGTGATAGCGAGATAGTTTCAGTTGTTTTCCCATTAAAAACGGATTTTCTGTTGATCTAGAAAACCAAACAAAAGGCTGGTTACTGTGTTAGGTCATACTCTGACATCCCATGCTGCCATTACCCACAGCAATGACTGAAGTTAAGCCTATTTCTATATCTGTTATGTACAATTACAACTCTGGAGATATGAGCTAAACAAATCCAGATCTCAAGAAAACAACTGGAAATTACTTGTTGTCACGGTTGCTTAACTCTTTCATAGTTTTTTTCAAATGTATTTTTTATACACCTGTGGTCAATATCAGACAGGTTAAAAACTTCTGTTAACTTAATGAAATTTTCAGGGTGAGCTGCATGTGGAGATATAAACAGCCTGATTTTTCAATCCGACATTAACTGTAATTTTCCCTGCCAGCCCCTTTGTTAATTTACCTCCTGAAGTCAGGGTGAGTCGATGTGAGAACACATTAGGAATTATTCAGGTAAATTAACTGATGCACGTAATAGGTCTATTTCATTGTGTTCTCTATTCACCACTATGTTACTCTCCGCTTATTTATTGATTTGGCATTAAACATTGACCTAAAGTAAAAAATTGTCATCAAACTGTTGGACTACGTCCGCCATTTCCACATCTTTTCTTTTTTTAGGTCGTTTTTCCTTTTTGCCCTGCGACGCCCCCTTCTGTCTGACGGGGATAGTGTTCTGCTGCGAGGAGTTACTAAGGAGGATTTCAGCGGCAGCCTGCCTGAAATAATTCACAAATTGTCAGTGGTGCATGTGTGAAATCGCCTCTGGTTTTTCTCTTTGCAAAAAGGGTAGTGCCCCCTGTTGGTCTTTAGAAATAATGCAGGTTTCCTGGGCTGCATTGGCTTCTTTGTTTGAAAGCTAAGTCCACTTCTTTTACAAAGTCTTTGTGCAGTCAGTGCTGCTTACACTGGCCCTCGTGGTTGTTGCTTAAGAATCTTGAATTATGATGAAAACACAGTCTATGTTATGATCATTTCTGCAACACTGTCAAACTTTCCCTGGTCCAATGAGCTTTCTGTCCCTGTCAGGTTTTTTAAAAAATCTTTTCATTAGGCCTATGCTTTGCAATTTACCAGCATTATGTGTAAATAGATAATTATTTTTTAACATACTTTCCCGTGGAACCATGTGTTACTTTTGCGGTGTCTCTTCATTATTTCTGGATGTAACCACTTCCAATGACAGATACATGTAATGTGCTGTTGGGCGCACCAGAGCTGCATGTGAACATATGTGTGTAGTCTGCGTTGAGTCCTTTGTACTTCAAAATAGAAAAAACCTTTGCACATCCATTTCATAAGACAGGCGCATTGGAGAGTGTGTCCATCAAAAACTTAAAGGTAAACTCCCGTACAAAGTCTAACTTGCAAAAAAACATTTCTTGGAATCATTTCTGTACTAGACCTTCACCAGGCAAACCTTTCTTTAAGTGTCTTTGCTTCGACTGAAATCCTTTTTTGTGATGAAAAGTGGCTCGAACCAAGTGATCCTTACCGTTTCTTCCTCTTTTATCTACAAACAGAGAGTACTTAAAAAGAGAGGAGAGTTCACTGTCAGACTTTAGTATGTGCCAATATTTAAAAAAAAAAACAACATTTGCCTGATGAAGATCTTGTACGAAAACGTTGCCAATACGTTTTTGTTTGCAAGTTAGGCAGTGTGCAGGAGTTTACCTTTTTAAGTTCCTTTGTACTGCCTACATGAAATATATTGCTTGACATGTTAAGTATCCATCTTAAACCTATCTGATCAGCATTATTAAATTTTTTTACCCAATCTGTCTGTTTCCTTTTGTATTGTTTGCAGATGTAAAAAAAAAAAGCTTGTTAAACTCCAAAGAAAAAGATTATTTCCTTTTGCTGGACAGATGTTGAAGCATACTTCAAACATGCGCAGTCATTAAGTTGCCATGGAAACAAGCTTTGACAAGAGTGACGTGATGATGTCACAAACTATGATTGAATATTGACCAAAGGTGCAGGTGTGTTTTGTGGAGACATCTATGTCATGATAATGTTCAATTTTGCACATTTTCTTTCTGCACACTGTGAACAAAGGAGGCCGAAATGGGTATGGAAAACTTCATTTCCCGGCATGCTCCGGCGCAGGGCATGCCTATGATGTCACAATAAGTATATATACGGCTACAGGGAAGAATTTCTTCCTCCATTGTTACATTGTAACAAACGGGGCCGGGGCGAAGCGGGGAGGAAAGACGTCTTCTCGTTCGGACATTTGCAACATTTCGACAACAACTACAAAAACAAAAACAAAAACAAAAGCCTGCCCGCTTTAACGCGAGAAGACAACGAAGTAAGCACCGCCGACTGGAGCCGCCCCGGTGAGAGAGAGAGAAAAAAAAAAAAAAAAAGATAAACCAACACAGATGTCAGCGGATTTTCTCCATCGCAAGCTTTCCAAGATAAGACAATTCATTCGGCTCTTTAGATAATTCAAGCTGCACCGAAAATGAGTGGAAATAAGTGGCAGCCAATCATATGACGCCCCTTTCCGTTCTCTTTAAATACAGAGGCATGCTACATTTACGAAAGCCGCAGGTCTATCAGGCAGTGTGTAGAACAATGAGCATGGAAACTAAGTAGCCTTATTATAGTCAGATGAGAAGTGTGAGAGCAAATTGACTGCCACGCAAGAATTCAGCCAGCTCTCCACGGTTGCAGTCCGGATCTTTAATTCAGGGTTTTATGGTTATTTGGCACAAGTCATCTGAAAGGGCGTTGAAAGATTGATGTGCAGTACACATTGGAAAGAGAAAACAACCAACGAGCTGCTTGGATTAGGGTCCCTGATTCTGCCCCAGGTAAGAGGGTTTAGTATTTCATTAACCGGGCGGTTTGCCATTGTGTGTGGGAGTGTGTGTGTGTGTGTGTGTGTGAAGAAATGGGAGAATAGAGAGGCCGGTCACACACTGATAATCCCAACCTCCCACTAAACACACAGTCTGGTCAGTTTCTGCATGTACATGATTAAAACAAACACACCACCGACACTGCATGTCCCTGACTGTAAATATATACAAGGAAGTAACATTAGAAAGAATCCTGGAGGCTGCCACAGTCCAAACTACATCTTTTAAAGAAACAGGACAATGACTGTGGTTTTCTCACGGGAAATGAGCCTACTATCAAAATTCAGCCTCAGCTCCAGTCGCCCCATTTATACCAGAGTCCCAGGTGGTTCACAATGATGCTATAACCCTATACTAGCATCTTCAGTGACTGTTGTCCTCTCTCTTTGCACTGAAAGCCCACTCACTCAGAACAGGAAGATGCAATGCAATATCCACACGTAGCAGGAAACAGCATTCATCTGCTGTTTCAGAAATGTTTGCACAGTGACAGCAACATAGCTTGGACACAAATTGAGCAGTTTTGATTATGTTGCAAAACCTACACAGTCCTGCATGACTCATCAATCAATCTATCTATCTTTAAGTGTATGGCACCAAGTCATAACAAATGTTACCTCAGGACACCTCACTCTTCAATTATCTACAAAGAACCCAACATTAATCAGAACATTAATGCAGCATGCACATTGAAACTGCATTGTTGTGCAGTTCCCACTGATTTTGCAAAAATAATGACACAAACTCCCTAAGCATTTCTCAAAAATGTCTTTATGACTGAAGGCTTGTGATTTTTATTTTATTTGTTAGAATGCTTCAACAGAGAGTTAATCATAGTGCACTTACGATTACTACAGCATGTCTGCTGCATTACATTTACGATGCACTGTCCATAAATCAGCTCCAGGATCAGCCTCTATATAACATCACCTCTGCATCAACTCTCTGTTCAGCTTGAGAACAAACTACAAGCAATCTTCTGAATGAAATGTTTCCCATTCTGATTGTAAAGGCTGGATTTTTCTTTTTAGAACTCCAAATTGAGGTGAAGAAAATGCCTCATTTTGAGCTCTCCCATTTAGAAATAAAGCTCCAGCATATTATGTCAGTGGTATTTGACATGTTATCTCATGCCCAGGTAAAGAATAAAAGCATTTTACACATCCAGAGTGGAGTTAAAAGCTGTAAATGACCTGCTCATGTACCTTGTTCTTAGGTTTTATTAATATAATAAAACATAAGATGGGCCCATTTTTTCCAAGTGAAAATCGTTTTGGTTATTTACTTGTTTTGAAAGTATCCAACTTTGTGTGATGCAGCTAAAATACAAACCTACGAGGCGAAACATTTCCTTACACAAGATCTATAATGAGTCACTTTGATTCACCTCGATCCACTAACTGTAACTTGATAAAATATCCGTCCCCCTTTTTGCACAGATTAATGCAGCGGCTGAAAAGTGTGAGGAGCAGTAGAGATCATCTGCTTTAGGGCTGTTTGGATAAACTGTGCTAGTTGCCATGGTGATGTTTGCAGACCTGATGATTTCAATGTAGGATTTCATGAGAAATGATGGGGGGATGGGGGTTTAGGGGGGTGAGGGGGGGGGGGGTGCAGAGGGAAGAAATGTTGGAGCTTGAATACAGATGAAAAGAGACAGGAGCAAACAGCTGATGTCATCTTTTTTTTGTATCTGTGTTCAGGAGCGACCTCACAGGAACAGTTTGAATCAAATGTGTGACAACAGGAACATGTTGTCAGTATTACACAGTTCCCAAACACAGTCGTGGACTTTATTCCTCACTGTGTGTCTCCATTTTGACATCCTTTGTGTTGCATATGGCTCGACGTGTTTTCCTCTGTGCCCTCAGAGAGCGAGTTTCCATGGAGGCAGCTTCGCCCCTCAGCCTCAAACGCAGATATGAAGAGGTGGACAACGGCTCTCCATTCTCTACACCTAAAGACTCCGACGATGACATCTCCAGCAGTGACAGCGTCGACAGCTGCGACAGCCTCAACCCCCCTTCCAGCGCTGCATTCACCCGTAAGGAGCCACAGAAGGCACAAGGCAATACACTTTAAAGACCCACTCAATGGATAATTATCATGTATCATTATTAATCATGTGTAACATCTCCTCCCAACTATCCCCCCTCCCCCCCCCCACCTCAGCCACCTCCATCCTTAGGCAGCACAAGCCGTCACCGGGGGGGAAGCGGGTACGTTTCGACGTGGTGACGGTGTACTACTTCCCCCGGAGGCAGGGCTTCACCAGCGTGCCCAGCCAGGGGGGCAGCTCCCTGGGCATGGCTCGTCACCACTCCTCCATCAGACACTACACGCTGGGAGAGTTCGCTCGTGAGCAGGAGACGAGCCACCGACACACTTTACGCCAACACCTGCGTCAGGAGAAGCTCAACGCCCGCAAGATGAAGGTAGAGTTCACAGAGTAACTGAGAGAAAGTGGGACCGATGACACGATCGAAAAGGATAAGTTGATGTGACTCATCATCTGGTCCGAGGTGTCCTGCTTTCAGTGAAGTTTATGCACCATTTATTGAATTATTAATAAAACATGTGCATACATTTTCCTTCCTTCCTTACTTTGAAAGCACATTTCTGATTCAGCTGTGGTGAAAAGTTATATTACTAAAGCACAAAATGTAGTAGAGCTCTAACATGCAATGTTGAAGGACTTCTCCTTAAAGCTTTCTGTATTTGTTTTATCTTACTCAACTACAGTCTGAAGGCTGTTTACCTTTTACTCAGCTTTTCACTTTTAACATAATCCAACTCTTTTTGACTTGTGATAGTGCGTCTCACATTTCACAAGTCTGTGAGGTGTTCTCAGCTCCAACAGAGACAGATTTTTTAAAATAAAGCTGTTATATTTATTTTAATTGAAAAAAAAAAAAAAAAAACAGAATAGCTGTTTCAATCCTAAAGAGGTAATACGCTTCAACATTAATTTTTAAACATGATACATTAAGACTGATTTGTATTTTTTTGATCCTAATCAACAGTGTATGTTATTGTGTGCTCAACCTACAGTGCAGTGTTTTTCAAAATAAAGGTATTTGATGCATCAGTGCTAACAATCTAACAGTGAATATATATGTTTAAGTACTGCAGCAAATTATCTGCAGATAGAATTATTTTTTAAAAGGTACCTCCTTTATTTTCACTACATTAGGATTTGGTTGTGGGACTTTTCATTTCCATGGATGAATTTTACTTTGTAGCAATCCTGCTTTTCATTTTCCAAAGGAATCTAATTGCTTCTTAAAATAACTCTCCTTTTTAAAAGTCTAAGTATGAAATGATGACGCTACAGAAAGCTAATCAGTCTCTTATTGTGTACAGCTCTCACAGTTCTACACTCTCTGTCGTCCACAGCTGACGAGAAACGGCACAGTGGAGTGCGCTCAGGCTGACCTGCTGACTCTGGAGGACGTCTCAGACGAGGATCTGGACGTGGACGGCGTGGAGGTGGATGACTGTTTCTTCCTCCAGCCGCTGCCCACGAAGCGTCGCCGAGCCCTCCTGCGAGCGTCTGGTATCGCCCGCATAGACGCTCGGGAGAAAGCCGAGCTGAGAGCCATCAGGGTGTCGAGGGAGGAGTGTGGCTGCGACTGCCGCTTGTACTGCGACCCTCGCCACTGTGGCTGCAGCCAGGCTGGTATTAAGTGCCAGGTAGGAATGTTAAATGGTCTATGTGTCTGTGCAGAAATATATTTAAAAAAAAAATCAGATTTCACTGCTGAATTTTAAATGACTGCCATATTAATCTGAAGTCATAAGAGTGCTTTATTTTCCCACAGGCCTTATTCTGGGAAAAAAATCTTTCTCCTCGTAAAATTAATGATGGCTGAATTCCATTAAGCTGGATCAGTTTCAGGGTTCTTAG